CAACCAGGACTTCTATCAGGTCCTTTAGGCGATCCATCACTCATCAGTGCACTCGCTACATGGGAACCCTCTCCTCACCCCACCCATCTCAGTGGGAGCTACGGTGCCGTTGTAAGCTAACGGGGATCCCATTCATGTGTAAGATTAATCCGCGAAAATCGGGACGCCCAGTCCGCCGCTTCACGCAACGTTACTGCGATGACATAGGGATCAACCTGTTATCTGCTATGCGTGTGCACGGACTGATAAGTAACGGGAAAGCCGCACGGTAAGAGGAGTGGGGAAAAGCAGCTCTCCATCCTCCAGCCATCATCACTAACCAGCGCACATCACCAGCCCCCTTCATCTTCAGCGCTGCGGCTCCATCCGCCGCTACCCTCGCCACGTACCTGTAAATTGCATGTCTGTCCGGTGATACACAAAGACTGGCGGACAGTGTCGCGGTCTGCGACGGCGATCCAGTGGTTCTGGGGATTTTTTTCTTGCCTTCTGTGCCGACTGATGCTCCAGTTTCGCTCAGTACCTACCTAGTGCTAAACCACCCCACACAAAGAGCAGAAAATGGCTGCAAGTGCATTTTCTTAAAGGGACAGTCACAGCCGAGTGATGGGTGATGATCAGGAGCCCCCGACATGTTGATTCTGTTCAGTAGAGCTTTAATTGATACTCTTTTAAAGAAAACTTAATATTGTAGGCCTACATAACTACTGCTTTTCTGACTTTTACACTCACAGTTGAAGCCTGTTTGTGTCTGTGTGTAAGTAGGAAAAGGGATAAGCAGATGAACTTTGATCGTTGGCACACTGTTGGACAGAGGGTATTACCCTCTAAAGAGTAGAAATAGATCAGAAAACAACCTTTATATATTACAGGGACTGGGCTATGCTCTATAGTGTCTGTGGTGCTCATGTGGATAGTTTTTTACTTTGTTTGTCAGTTTAATATTATTGACAAAATCAAATAAAGCTAATCTCCAACCCCTGATAGAACGATGCCCTTAGGTCTGTCTCCACTTGTTCTCTCCAAATTCTGACAAATGTGTTCCTTCACTCAGTGTTTTGAGGATGGTGGTGGTGGAGACACTGTCTAACACATCACTCCAAAATCTCCCATTGTTGTTCAATTGGGCTCAGACTGTGAAGGCCACAGCATATGGTTCACATCATTTTCATGCTACGAACCATTCAGTGACCCCTCATGTTCTGTGGTTGGGGCTCTGTCATCGCGTAAGACACCACTCATTTATTCAGGGGTTTCCTTTAATTTGTCGCCTGTCTTTACTGATTATTTAAAGTGTAAGGAGATATAATAAATGAATGACTTACACTGACCATCTGATTAACTTGTTTACTGGATAACTGGGTAGCTGCACAGATGTAGGCTCCTGAAAGCATACAATTCTATCCCCGCTACTATATCGAGGAAACAGCTGACTCACATGAAACTATTTTTGAGAGGCTGTTTGTAGCCTTCACTGGGCCTATGTTGTTCTACCTTATATAGTCTAATTGAAAGAGTCATTTGGTTGTGTGTGGTACTCAGAATTTCCAATTTCTCAGTTATTATCATTATTATTATTATTATTGTTGTAAAGGCTATAGATTCTCAGTTAGTGCATTTGATTTTATACCTCTAGGTATTTTGTGACAATGTATATGGCAAAAAAGTTGTTCTGAGCTTCAGAACAATGTCCAGCTTGGCTGAAAGATGAGTTTCCTGACCCACTGTCTGATTAGAGCATTACTATTCACCTGCCACAGTACATTGTGATCCTACATCATTTCTATATTGGTCCCAGTATGTTAATTAATGTTTTTGTTAGCATACACTGCACTTTGTGGCAGTTTCAGACACAACCTTTTTTTTTTCATTTCTGAAATGCAAATATATCACCTACTTTAGTAAATATCTGTTCTAGTGCTGAAAATGTGTAGGAAGCATGAGAAAAAGAAAAGATTTGTCTAATAAGAAAGGATTCATTTAATTAACAGTAGATTAAACAAAGCAAACATCTCAACTTGAATGTACAGAGATCTTATAGACTATTGGAAACATTTACATAAACATGCAGTGAGAAGCTGATGCTGTGTCAGTGGACTGTATGAGCTTTTCACGAGTTGTTTACAGAGCTATAAAACAGATAAAGTGCTAAATCCAGAGATTTTAAATTGTCTTGTGTTTTGTAAATGTTGTAATAATGATAATCAAATGAAACAACTTCATAGGCATTCGAAAAACATTTCGATCAATAAATTAAATAAATAAAGCTATTTTTTAAAATTGGCATCCTCAAATCTTATTTTGGTTCACAGGTTAAAAGGGAGTTCAGCTCATAGAAGAGGGCAGCAAAGGATGGACGATCATCTGGCCTCTGGGAATGAGAACAGGAAAAAAATACATTATTACAAAACACTTTGCTGTGATTCAGCAGTTCTTGTAGAAATATGTTAAATTTCAGGTCCCACCAGAGGTGGAAAGTAGCTAAGTACATTTAAGTACTGTACTTAAGTAAAGTTAGGAGGTATCAGTAAGTAGTTTCATTTTTTTGGCACATACTTTGACTTCACCACATTTTAGAGGCAAATATTGTAATTTTTTTACTCCACTACATTCATTGGATAACTTTAGTTACTAGTTACTTTTCAGAATCATATAAACTACATAAAATATAATATAATGATAAGAACCTACTGATCCCTATTGGAAGGTTAACAAGCCACCAAGCAGTAAATAAGGCAGTTTAACTAGCTCTACCTTTACCAGCTGCAACACAGTGACAAAAACAATAATGGATCAGCAGTTAATATGACACACATCAATGCCATTCTGCATAATGAGCACTTTTATTTCTGGTATTTTAACTATGCAGTATTTTGATGCTAATACTTCCATACTTTTATCTAATTAACATTTTGAATCTAGGACTTATACTTGTAACAGAGCATTTTTACACTCTGGCATCGCTACTTTTACAGCCTCAGTACTTCTTCCACCACTGGTTCCCACCTCCTTCCAGCACCACTCCATGAGCAGGTAGACCGCGTCTGGGGCCAACCGTGGCTTCAGGAGCCTCAGGCCTGCATTCAACGACTCCACCACCTCACCATTGGAGCGGTTCTCGTAAGGAAGACGGCCTTCACTATACACCTCCCACATTAGTACACCTGAACAGGGGTGAACAGGGGGACCCCTATTGTTAAAAGAATATACAAACCTATAAAAAAACTAACTGTTGGTCAGTTACCCATTTAGGCCATTAGGACAAAAATCACTTCCTATCTCTTTGGTAAATCATTTGCATGTTTGTGGTCATTTTATGTTACACTAACTCTTTTGCACACACTATTCTGAATTATTATGAAAAGCATCACAAAAATGCTAATTACAAAAATCTTTTAAACCCGCATACTGTATTTTTGCTTGTATTGTGTGCAAATTTGACAGGTCTTGCATAACCTTCAGAACTACATCAATCTGCAGATCCCTTACACTTTAGCGCTACAGTTTTGAAATTGCCACACTTTTTGCATTATGCAAGTATGCCCTGTTATACAGATACAAGCAAATGACAACATCTGAATACAGACTCTTGTCTTGTGGAACTGTCTATGCCAAGTTAATATGTTTCTGCCGATTTAAACTCCCACTTTGACCATGTTAGAACCTAAATTGACTTCTTGGAGCTGGTTGGCACTAGTTGGCATTGCACCATGAACATAGCTGCCAAACATTATGGTCTTTGACACATGCACACATATGTAGACTACATGTAATTAATCAGTTAAACATAATAATTTAATAATGTTTTTTGCTCAGTTTCTTTTGCAGAAGTTGCAAAAATGTGTCTCGAATTTGTATCTATAACTGTGGTTTCCACAACATGACTTTAAACAACCTTTTTCTTTGTGTTTCTGAAATAAAGTGTCCTGTGACCTTAAATGTATATGGAAAAATATCCAAAACCAATTCAATCTAATGAAGACTAGTTTAGCTTCCAGTTTGGGTCCCTGGAGCAATCGAAATCAAAGGAAATGAGCGATCAATATGATAACATGACTTTGGTTTGAAGATGCCTAGCCTGCAAAAAGACCAGCAGTTAAACATATGTTGCATGACTAGACAGACAGCAAACCAGATATACATAAAAAAGGCAGAGACAGATGAACACACCGAATGACCAGACATCAGACTTGCTGCTGTACTTGCTGTATCTGATGACCTCTGGGGCCGACCACTTGACAGGGAACTTGGAGCACTGGGAACTTGTGTACTGATCATCAAGAACAAATCTACAGAACAGATAGTGGGCCCACACCATTATACAGTGGTACATGTAAAATAAAACTATCACGATTTTAAAAATTTAATGCACAATATATTCAGAGTTCTTGGTGAAAAAATACCTGGTCATGCCAAAATCAGACACTTTCACCTCATTGTTCTCTGAAACAAGACAGTTCCTGGCACCCTGCAGAAAAAAGAAGAACAGATGGTGATAACAGCAGAGATACAAAAGTGGATTCCAAAAAAAGTTGATATCTACTGATTTACCAGATCCCTGTGGATGAAGTTGGAGCTCTCCAGGTAAGCCATCCCCTCAGTGACATCCAGACACATCCTCAACATCAAGTCCTGAGACAAATGGCCTTTCTTGGTTCTCAGGTAGTTAGACAGACAGCCATTTTTCATTAGCTCAAACACAAGACACATAGGAGAGCGTTGGGTGCACACACCGTACAGCTGAACCAGCTTACAGTGAGACAGCCTCCTGTTAAGACACACACACACACACACATAAGTCGACTGGTTTCCAGATAGTTCTCCTGATCATCATCATTATAGACTGGACTTACATCATGATTCTTGCCTCTTCTTTAAATTCCTCGTCTGACATGCACTGTTCTCTTATCATCTTCACTGCCACCTTCATCTCCCTCCACCTCCCCTCCAGGACAAGCCCAAACTGACCGCTGCCTATCTCCTGACCCAGAGTCAGCTCGTCAGGATCCACTTCCCACTCCTCTGTTAGTGGGTGAAGGTAAACAACACTCTTGTTAGAGTAAAGGTTTAGGTTTCAATGACAACTTTATATATAATTAAAAATCAAAGTAAGCTTCAGCAATGAGACCACAGAATTTGTTTTATTAATTCTAATCAAAAAATTATGAATGTTTCAGGTTTGTTGTACTACACCAAACAATCAGATAATTGTGTATGGGTAAACTGAACACTCCCTGAGTAGACTTCTGTGAGAACCACTAGAGGTCAGAAACAAACAAACATTTTAGCATTCAGTTATGATTGTTTTGAGGCCCAGTTCAATCATCCAAACCAAATATACAACAGTGCACCTTCGAACCTTTTGAGAGGTCAGCAATGTCCTGGGAGAAGCCTCCACCTTGAGAGATGGGGTGCCTCAGGCGTGTTATCAGACCTGTCAAGCAAATAGATGCCAACACAGATAAAATAGTTAATTTTTTTAAGGCATCTGCCGGCAGCCAATTCTTGTCAGTGTTTGTGAAACTTGAGTTGATTTTCAACTTCCTTGTTGCTCATATTACTACTGTACATACTACTGCATACACACTTGCCTGCAGCATTGTGTTGGTGGTAATGTATGAGCTCAGGAATGGTGCTGAACAGGTACTTTTCAGCCAAGTAAAATGCTGGCTCTTTTTCTTCTCTCTGCCTGATTTGATAATGTTTCACTCTTGGATTCTTCTCCCCATTTGACCTAAAAGGAAATAAAGACATATTATTATGAAAACGTGAAATGTTCACACTAAATTACAGTATAAAAGTATAAAGCAAGAAAAAAAAGCCACAGATTCAGATTCAGGTTCATTAATTAAACACAATAGTAGTATATAGTAAACTACACAAAAAGAAGGAAGTAAAATTACCCAGGTGCTTTGGTGAAGACTGACACGGTGTAGACTCCCGCCTGTCTTGAGTCACGCACCATGAATGCACCTTCTTTTCCCTAAAAATACAGTTCAGCATAGAAATGGCATAAAATCATAAAAAATTAAAAATACATTTGTGATGCACTTATTAAAAATGTATAGTGATTGTCTGTTTCATCTGCAGTTAAAACCAGCATATAGGCCTGGATAGCTGTTCTACCTCCTCATTGCAGAATGCACCTAAGCACACCTCAG